CCTTCAAATTTTGTATGTTTTAAAATTGTTGTTCTTTGGTTAATAGTTCTTTATATGTATATCTCCATTCTTCCATCATTAAAGAGGGTTGAGTAAATGCGTCTAACAGTGCTATCCAGATCAGGATTTTTTTTAATACATTTGTTCCCGGAACCTTTGCCACACTTGGTATAATGCTTTCTTTACCATATGATGACAGATATTCCTCATGTCAACATGTGGAGAGACATTTGAGTTCCTGATAACAATAATAGCAATCTGATACTCTTAACAATGATCTCTCCAGTACACATCAGTTACTTTGTTAGGCTTGTAAAAAGAAATGTGTAGTGCTTAGAACAAATTGGAACACTTCATATGAGCAATCTTGTACGTGTTGTACCCCGCCCAGTGTTTTCTTAAATTTTCACTTGTATTTTCATTTTCACAATAAGAAAGTTAAAAGAAAACACAACATGTACAGCTAAATAAAATGGCAACTAGGCAGGATGATTGTTATGCATTTATGCACTACATAGTCACAGATGATACCAGATGAATAATTCATATGTCATTGTTTCTTATAGTCTAGGATGCTGCGTTTCAGTTGTCCATACAATTTATGATATTGACAGCATTTCCCCTCTAGCCTCCCTTGCCCTTAGGAGTCATCGTTATGTGCCATTATCTCGAACTTTTTCTCCACCCTTTATGTTCTCCACCCTTTATCTTTTGCCCACCTGACACATGTCCAGCTATAGAAGTGTATACAAAATGCAAATTTTGAAGAATGGGTTTACCAATATTTTTTGTTGTTGTAAATTTATTTCATACTTGGTTTACATATAGCTCTTGTTTCAATGTATTTTATTTTTAAAGAAGTAGGGCAGAGTATCAAAACAGAGCAAAATTTGTTTCAGTATAATCAGTGTGATCATTTCAGTTCCAACCACAGTTTTGAGAGGCATGGTTTTTCTCCCTCCTTCCCTTCCTTGTACATATGCTTTATGTTTCCTTTACATATGGCTATTAATTCAAAGTCCTTACATCATTATAGCATAAAATCTGTTTAGTTAAAGTGTCATCTGACCTAGCTGCAGAATGTTGTCCATTCTTTTAAAAATGTAAAAGAAAAATATTGCTAGTTTAGCAACAATGCAAATTAGGGAGAGGGAAGAGGGTAAAAGTATTCACTCTCACACCATGCCTCACTTTATATATCTTGGTTTCTTTAATCAAGACACATCCAGCAATGTTTAAAAGGACTGAAAATTGTTCACACCACTGTGAAGCAAAAAAAAAAAAGCTAGAGAACAACTAATTAGGAACACTGAAAACTGAATGAAATATAGTGGATACTCATGTAAAAAGAACAGATCCACTCAGGATTAGCAGTGAAGTCATCTGATTGTCAGAGAAACTATCAGACATGGCACAAGTCATCCATTTGGTTGTGTCCTAATAAAGTACACATAGCACATTGCTTTCTAACTTTATCCTCCTCCCCACCCCAAATTAATGTTTACTGGTGACTGGAGACAGTATTGGGCTTGAGGAAGGCTAAGGAAATGAGGCACAGTCTATACAAGATGCAGGTCCTCCTGGTCAGGCGATATACCAAGTACTATTCCATCAAGACAGGAGGCTACATGCTCCCTCTCCCTTATTTATCTTCTTCCTCCATTGCTAGGCTATAAATGCTTTGCTCTGAAGCAGAGGGAACCACCTAGCCCCTGGTGCAAATGCAGCCCATAAGAATTTCCCATCTGAATCAAAAGGTGGTTCTGTACAGCAGTTATGTTTGATCCATTACTGGAGAAGACATATTAAGCTATTTAAAGTTTATTAATCTATTGCATAGAATTGAGTTCAGCTTGAATTGGGTATTCCTAAACTGGCATGCATTTGCTGACTCTTGCCTTTCATGATCAGAGATCTTCTAGACTTGATTATTCATACTCTTGGAACCTCCATTTTAAATTACTGCCTCCAGACAGAGTTCAGGCTTGATTTGATCTCAAACCTACTTGTTCATCTTTCTGGCAGTCCAGGCTATTGTTTTTTTTTTCAAATGAATAATTTTTCCCCTGTCAGCTTTCATAACCTCCTGCTTTCACACACATACATGGTGATTGGGAATATAAGAGTGTCGATGAACTTGGTTCACAGTGGCACATCCTTACACTTGATGATCTTTTCTAATTCCTTCATTGTTGCCCTTCCAAGTCTCAGTCTTCTGATTTCTTGCTTCCAGTCTCTATTTGTATTGATTATTGAACCAACTGTACAGAAACTCTTAGCTATTTTAATTTCTTCATTTTCAACATTAAAGTTGTGTAGTTCTTCTGTACTTAGGATTTTTGTCTTCTTGATGTTCAACTGAAGTTTCCTGCTGTGGTACTTTATTCTTTCACTAAAAGCCATTTCAAGTCATGGCTGCTTTCTGCCAATAAGATGGTGTCATCTGCATATCTTAAATTATTATATTACTTGCACCATTTTTGCCTCCTCCTTCATCTGAATCTAGTTTGCCCATCTGTATGATATGTTTTGCTTACAGATTGAACAGATAAGGGGATAAAATGCACCCTTGTCTGACCCCTTTGCCTATAGGAAACCATTCTGTCTCTCAATATTCTATCTCTCCTGTCCATATTCTTGTCTACAATACATGTTACGTATCATATGCATAGATATGATGCATAACATTTCTTTCAGAATAACCAATAACTTCTCATGATCCGACTTGGGTCCTTTTGGGGAGAAAGGCAGTTTAGGAATATTCTAAATAATTAAATCCACACAGTCAAAGACTTTGCTGTAGTCTATAAAGCACAGACGGTCCTTCTTAAATTATTTGGTACACGCCAGTTGCCAGTGATACTTACAATCTAACCTTGAGTGTCTCTTCCTTTTTGTAATCTAGCTTCTTGAACATCAGACATTTCTGATTCTATATAAGGTAAAAGCCTTTGTTGCAACACCGTGAACATCATTTTGCTTGCATGGGAAATATTTACTGCAGTCCTTGACATATCTTTTTGTGGGTTGGAATGTATATTTATTGTTTTCAGTCCGTGGGCTGTTGTTTTGTTGACATATTTGTTGTCATATTCTTGTTAGGATTTTGACATATTCAGTCTCTGTGGCTTGATATAGTTCTGTTGGTATACCATCTACCCCTGGTGCTTTATTTCTTCATAGTGCTTTCAGAGCAGCTTTCACTTCTTTTTCTATAACTACACCTTCTTATCATAGGATTCCTCTGCAAAGGAGTCTTCCGTCCTTTTATGTGTTCCGGATAGATCTTCAATATACTGCTTTCACCTTCTCTTTATTTTCTCCTAGCCAGATAGCATGCTTCCCTGTTGTTTATTTAGCATTCCTAATCTAGGCTGAAATTTCCTTTTGATTTCTTGGACCTTTTGGAAGATATCTCTTGTTTTTTCCCCTTTGTTGTTCTCTTCTATTTCTTTGCACTGGTTATTGTAATAGTATTCTTTGTCTTTAAGTGACAATCACTAAAAACTGTGTTCAGGGTTGTGACCCTATTCCTGTCGACTTTTATTTTGCTTCTACCTTTTTTTAATGGACACATCTCATATCTGGTTTGTATGAGTGGTTTTATGGATTAGTATTTAAGGCAGAAATGGTCATGGAAAATATAATCTGATCAATATGGCATAGCTTTAGTCTGTAAATAAAAATGGCACATAAAAGCAAAATACAATCAACAGCAAAATAAAACTGAAGATTTATAAGATCTGAAGTTACTCCACTTTACCTTGTATCTGAACTTGTGGACATTTGGAATAATAAGACATGATACAAATCTCATGTAGGATAAATTTGGAGCAGCTCTTGTACTCGCATAGGGTACCAGAAAATAGATCTCAGTCGAGTTGATCACTTGAGAATTCTGTTTCTTCATGTGTTATGAAGGAGGGGGCCACAGAAAGAGAGGGTCACACTTTAAAATACATAGGCTATCTCCCTTGCTCTTGGCCCCTGCTCCAGACTTTGCACATAACCCCTTATTCTGTAAGGGAGAATTAGAGGGAGAAAAAAGCTATAAGGATTTTTCCTGGTTATTGATTCACCCTGAAAGTATCTTCCATGTCTGTTTTGCAAGAAAAATATGAAGATGAGATAGCTGTGTTTTCCTCCTAACATATAGGCCTGCATTGTGTTGGGAGGAAATGTGAATTTCTGCACTAAATATGATAGCTGGGGCAAGCACTTGGAGCACTCTTACTACTGACTTGGGTAACATTTTTTAGTTTTTGCACAGCTTATATTTTTAGCAGGAAAAAACTTATAACTGAAAAAGCCCTTCACGCTTATGTACCCGAAGAGCATTTACTAACTCTCAGTTGCTAGCTTTGTCATGGTTTCATTTAGTGCTATTTTCAATCATTGTTTGTTCACCAATAGAACTCTGGCTCTTGGGTGTCTCAGAAGTTTGCATGTCTGTTTATTAGGACTTCTGAGACACCCAAGAGCCAGAGTTCTATTGGTGAACAAACAATGATTGAAAATAGCACTAAATGAAACCATGACTAAAGCTAGCAACTGAGGGTTAGCAAATGCTGTTCATAAAACCCAATTAAGATTCAGCCATGGAATAAAATTCTGCAATATTTAAAAGCATTACGGTTATACTGTACTAATCTACCTTGTTTCTAGAGCTGCAGGTATATGCATGTGATGATAAAACCTCTCAGTTTGGAGTAGCTGTTCTGGATAAAAGGATTGTGTACCTCTGTAAGTTGGAGTTTAGAGGCCAGCCAGTGACATGTTTAGTGCATGACCTTCAAGTCGTGGCTGCCATATCTCATTTAAAAATCTCTGGGGTACCATGGGGCTGTCTTTTCCTGTTATACCACGCTCTGTGAATCAGAAAATAATAAACTTCTTTTATGTCCTATGGAGAAACAATCTTCTGTAATCATGGGGAAAGTGTCTGTTATCTGTACTGAATGTGCACAGTATTATTTTACCCCTAATATTTTCTCTTCCAGTCAGAATACCATTATGAATACACAGCATGCAACAGCCTAGGCTCCAGATGGAGAGTAGCTGTGCCACACACCGCGGGACTTTGCACTGGCCTGCCAGACCCCATCAAAGGCACAGAGTGCTGTAAGCCATTATTGCTGCCACTGCATCTTTCTTGTTCACAGTTGATTCCATTGCACTGGAAATTCCTGGGCCTCGCAGAACCGCAGGGCATGAGATAGCTATTTTTGAGATACACAGGCAGCACTGTTATTTCTAAAAAAAAATTATTACCACCTTTGATGCTTGCTTGGAAGCACACCTGATTCCTCTGCTCTGCTAATATTTGAATGTTCACAGGAGAAAGATTTAGATTCCAACTGATCTAGAAATCTATTTTCTTCTAGTGACTGGGAAAAATATTTGAATATTTGTGTATGGATCATAAAAATACAGTATAAAGATTAGAATACTGTAGCATATTTGACTTGAAAATTACACTTTGATGAATTTCCACTTGCAGTTAGGTCTACCTTGTTGACAAATTGATAATATGTTCCTGTGATTAATTGGACAGCAGATTTATTTATTTTTTAAAAATCATTCTTAAAATTGCAGATACAGAGCAACCTCCCCCTTTCTCTTGCAACAGGAGAGAATGTCTCTGTTAAGAAGATGTCTGTTCGGAATATTAGTGTGACAACTTGAAACAAAGAAAGCATGCCTTCCGTTTCAGAATAATTATTTGATTGATATAACCACAATTTTTTTATCCAGAAGATCTGATTGAATGCAGTCTATTCACTGCCATTTTAGAACATATCGATATGTGTACATAAGTGAGCTCCTTTGAGCTCAGTGTGACTTACTCCCAGGCAATTGTGTAGAAGACTGCATCCTTACAAGGCAGTTCTAAGGGAGAGGGAGAGAAAGAACCTAAGTTAGAGGAAATGGCATCTCCAATTCCTGCTGACAGGATGAAGGGTGTGTTGTGGAGAGTAGACTCTTTCTTCCTCTCAGCCCTTCGGCTGTTATAGCCAGAACATAATTGAATACTGTATTTATCCCAGCCTAAGCCCAGCAGTGCAGATTTCAGTGGCAAATGTTGACTAGTTAAGAAGATGGCATTTGTATATCTTGTTGCACACCAAGTCACATGACTGATGTGAGATAGTCCTCTTCCTAAGAGAGGGACAGCTTTATATTTGTATAAATTAGTCACCCTAATTAACCAAACCTATAGAACAAATAGTATAAGTTGTATACGTTTTGAATTGGCATGGCACTAAATTGATGCAGTGATAAAAATGGATAGGAAAAAAAAGGAAGAAAGATGAATACCCCTTGTACTTGGCACGCATTTCGGCAGACTCCACAGACCCCCACAGACACTGTTTAGTCTGACATGAGTCAAAATGAGGTTTTTTAAAAAGCATGACCCAAATTATTTAAAATAACTTCTTCGTGGGTATTTTAAAAATCCTGAATTTTTGACCCCAAAATAGTGCACATAGCTATAGTGTGGGTGGATATTTTTAAATCTATTTCAAGCATGCTAAACCTAATGCAAAAACCAGGAGTATTACAATGTGTAGCTGAGTCCTGACTTCAATAGAATTTATTTCCAGATTACAGCATGTAGGCCTCTTTATTACAATAAACATAAAATATATCAACTGCTTCTGAATTATAAGCCCCCCCAAGCTCTGTAGAATGGAATATTTTTCAGAGATAAAATATACATCTTCTTGCCTTGATTTGTGTTTCATTCATTAGCCTTAGAGAAGCCTTTAGCCTGCTGAATATTGGGAAGGAATATTGCCTAAGTGTCTGCTGAATCCATAGTCTTGTTAGAAGAAGGCACACCACTCTGGTTGTACAGTATATGATCTAACTAGAACAGACAGAACCGTTGTAGCAGTCTGTTATCAGAATCCTTCTAGGGGAAAAAATATTTCTGCTTGTTTTTATCCCTGATCTTTCTTTTGGTGCTCTTCTGTGTTTCAGCTTTTTCCTGTACAGCAGGCAAATTCTTGGATATGAAAGATCAGTCCTGCAAGCCATGCGCAGAAGGCACGTATTCTCTGGGGACCGGTATCAGGTTTGACGAATGGGATGAGCTGCCCCATGGTTTTGCCAGTGTAGCAACCAATCTTGAAATGGATTCCAGCCTCTCAGAGTCCTTAGGAAACTGCACCATGTGAGTGAGGTTATTATTCTGCTAATGTTGGAATGTGTCAGTCTTGAAAACCAAAGTGCATAATGTCAGTCAGTCTGCCTTCCAGGCTGCTGTAGATTCAAAAAACGAAGGCAGCACTTTTGATAAGACACACTTGTGAATTATTTCCCCAGATTGGAGGTACCACGTTATTCTAGATCTTGCTACTAAACCAGCTCCAATAGTTCTGCCATCTTACGCTCTTAAACTTTTAACTTTGATTAAACTACTGCAAATACTCAGTTTGATATCATTTATCAGTTATCTCTTTTAACTTTATTTACAGGTAACTGGTGTGCAGCAGGATGTGTATTTAGTGATAAAATCTCAGTGCAAGAAAAGACATACTGATGAGATTATGGGGCTGTATCACTATTAATTTTCACACTTTAATTTCAGCAATGGACATACATCTATACAGTTTCACATTAGTTATCTGTAAGATGGGAGCAACATAAATGGGAAATGATACTGAATGGAACATGGGCCACTTTTTATCAGAGTAAAACCAAAAGTCAGGTGCTGCAGAATGTAGAGCAGAATGACTCCATATAATTATTTTTGAGAAAGAATGGGGGGAATTGACTCACCCCCTGACTTTGATTGGTGAAACCCATCTAGACATAGTCTACTATAACAGTAGGGATGTCCTATAACAGCCTAGGGATTCTGTGAATTCTCCTTATGTGGAGAATATTTTGTGTGGTCCAGTTCTGCATGAAGAAAAATCTTAATTCCACAATCTGGTGAAGAATGTAAATGATAATTTGTTGAAATCCTATTGCGTGGTGTAGTAAATGGCTACTAGAGTTAGGCCCATTCAGTCAGTGGGGATTTGGTGAGTTAGCTCCTTTGTAAGTTCTGTTGTCAAATAGGTCTACTCTAGTATGACTTCTTGTGCTAAGCAATAGTATGTCAGAATTTATATATAGCCACCTAGAGTGATCTTATAGACCATATGGGCGGGGTACAAATTATATATAGCCACCTAGAGTGGTCTTATAGACCAGATGGGTGGGGTACAAATCAAATCAAATAAATAAATAAATAAAATATGTATATGGTTTTTACACATAATTTAGTCTACTTTTGCTAGTCATGAGGAAGGATGAATTGTTATGTAGTGCAATGAAGTACCCTCCTCAGCCTGCTGGAAATCCTGTCTCTTCTTCCTCACCCCATCCAGAAACTTTGCTAGTGTAAACTGTCGTGACAAGCATCTCACAATCTGATTGTCCCCCAATGTGTTGGTTTACAATGTCCATTTTACCTGGTGATGATGGGAGCTGAGGAAAGTTGGGGAAGACCGAGTTACAGTCTTATTTGCTTTTGTCATTTTCACAGGCTGGAGGAAGGAAGAGGAATTGCTCGCTCCCAGTTCCACTAATATCACTGGAACCACCTATTTGTATTCTGGTCTATAAAAAATAATTTTTGTCGACTGAAAAATTAATCATGGATTAATATGGAAATGGGATGAGATAGAGTTTTTAATGAACTCAAGTAAAACTGAAAAAGACTAGAAATAGTTCACCCCAACTGCCATTATAATAATCAATTATTCATATTCCATCAGAAATTAACCTGAGAAATATATATTATAGCTGTTTTTCCTGTTTCTGTTTTATTTATTCATTTTGTTTCAGGGATTTGGCTATTTATAAAAGAAATAGAACAGTTCAATAGAACAGTTCTAATAGAAATAGAAATACTGTAATATTAGGACATAATAGTGTATAGCATTATATTTTTTTCTTTTAAAAACACCCAATGCACTATACAGTTTAACAGAATTTTCTAGGCTATTATATTTGTCAGTTTAAACCAGGGGCAGGGAACATTTTTAACTCCCCCCCCCAATTTAGATATGCCAACAGTACCCCCTTGATTTGAAAGGAAAGAAATCCTACATTATTTGAATTCAAAATCATATTGAATCTACACAGGCTGTGTACTAAACTAGCAGGATACATCATCAGTATCAATGGCTGCCAGGCGATGTGCCGAACTAGCAGGATGCACCACATTTAATAAAGATGTGCACTATTTTTTGCTGGAACACATTGCACACCAGCCATGGGGTGGTATGGGTAGTAGTAAGGTGTCCAACGTGCCTAGCAAGTTGCATTACATTTTTGCTAGTTCGCAGAGGATTTAATCATCATCAATGGCTTCCAGAGTGCTGCTAGCAATGACGTGCTTGCTAGAGACAGCCAAGGCAGAGTTGGGTGGGGGGGCTTTTCCTACCACTTTAATCATTATGTGTGTGGTGTGCAAAAAGGAACAAACCAAGCTAAAGGTCATGTCAGCCACCCTGATGCCACAGCCCAACATCAAAGGATGAGTGTGCTATTTTTTTTTTTTATCATCATCAATCGAAAACTCAGGAGTGGCCAGAGGATTGGAAAAGATGAGGCTACATCCCAATCCCAAAGAAGGGAGGTGCCAAAGAAAGCTCTAACTACTGTTCAGTTGCACTCATTTCAAATGCTAGCAAGGTTATGCTCAAAATCCTACAAGGTAGGCTTCAGCAGTATGTGGACGGTATGGAGGATCTTTGCTGGACGAGCAGGTATTCAGCCCATTGGAACGCATTAACCGGGTTTTAATGCGTTTCAATGGTTTTTTTATATCGCTTGACGATGTTTTCGTTCTACAGCGATTTCGCTGGAACGAATTAATATCGTCAAGCGAGGCACCACTGTATATCATATTAATATAATAAACATACAAATAATTGCAACTAAAAATAACTGGCAACCCACTAAAAAATACTGTGTGACCCCTGGGTTGGAAACCCATTTGCTAGAGGAAAAGAATTATTTTATCTTTAGATGTCTTCATGGAAATGCAATCTTAATACTGTATAGGAACAAACAAAATGACTGGCATAATTCTAGAAATGTCCATTTTGGTTTCTAGAAAAAAATATGAATACTGTACACTTTTTAAATATAATCCCCCCATTGAGTTTTAATGGGGATATTATTTTTATCAGTTAAGCTTGTCATTTCATTTTTGCACCATTTAATTATGAAAAAGGCAGTAGACAGTTCATAAGAAAAATCAGTTGGGGGCAGTTTTCATGAGTCTTATCATGCTTTATTTGCCATAATGCTTCCCACTTCTCTGCTCAAGATATATTTTCCTAATTCCATACTCCTGAAGAATGTGTATAGTTTACAAAGTCTGTGGCAGTTGATAACATTGTGTTTGGAAAATAAGCAGTTGATAATTGCTACTATTACTAAGAGCATCAGTCAAATTCTTAGGATGTTCCTGCTGGACCCCTCTCCACCATACCATCCATTGTATATGTCTTCATTTCCTCTGTCTCATTCCTGGAGATTAGAAACTTTTTTTTATAGCAACCAGAACACCCAAGGCAGCATTGCCATTTTCCAAAATAAGCTTATTCCACAGGGAAGCCTTTTTTGTGCTTTCACAGCATTGTTGACACTTATATTTCTTAGAAAATTTATTAAAACACTCAAGTTCTTCTATGTTGTTTGTCTCCTACTAAAAGGGGAAACAGTGCAAGCATACCCCAGGGTATATTTAGAATTATAGAACTGTTGAGCTGGAAGAGTTGAAGGTTCACCGGTTACAACCACTTGCTGATGCAGAAAACCCATAGCTAAAGCATCCCCGACTGCCATCCAGACTCTTTTGAGAAACCTGCAGTGAAGGAGAGTCCACCATTTTCTGAGGCAATCCATTGCGCAGTCAAATAGATCTTACTGGGAAGCTCTTCCAAATGGTTAGCTGAAACCTCCTTTCTTGTTATTTGAACCTATTAGTTTAGGTCCCTGGTATATCTTCCAGGTAATAGTGCTTTCCAGTATTTGAAGATGGCTATCATATCACCTCTGATTTATGTCTTCTGTGGGCTAAATATAACCAATTTAGTGAACCATTTCTATGGGAGGGAACTAAATCAGCCTGAAAATAAAATTCCGTTTGGCTAATTCTCTGCTCTGCACCCCCACAATCGAAAAAGCCCTACCACATAGTATATAATAGCCCATAGTGTGAGCTGCAGGCCAAATAGATAGACACTCACTTTTGTTGCCAGCGGACATTAATGGCTGTGTGTTGCATTATTTCTAGGGGACAGGGACATTTACTCTGTTATACAAGCTGTACAGTATATTCTTTGCTTTACATTGCAGCCGAGTGTCATTTCTTCAGTGTTGTCACATGGAAAAATATACTAAAATATTTATGAAAAGTGAGAGTGTGTATGTCTGTGATATTACCAGACAGACAGACAGACAGACAGACAGACAGACAGACAGACAGACAGACAGACAGATAGATAGATAGATCCTGTCTGATTTTCCAGATTATGTTCAGCTTCTTTATATATTTAACCACTTGGCTTATACTTATTTGGTGGTTTAATATTGCTTTCAGCAGTATTTTTCTGTAAAACTGTAGTTTTTTTCTTGTTTGTTCTGATGAATTCAGGAACTTTTCAGTCAGACTGACTAATTTAGTTAGCTGATTGTCAGAAACCAGAAAGTGCTTTGTCTGATTTAAGCCTCCCTCTTAGGCAGGTTAAGGTGAAAAAACAACAACTATTTCAGATAAAAAAATAATGCTAGAGAGAATAGGTAAATGCTAAATAAGTGTAAAAATGTGATTTAAGTATAAATTAAGCTAAAAAAGGTTAGGAGCTGTGCCACTTTTTTTGGTGACAGGTTGTGACACAGGTTTTTTGATGGGATTTTAAAAAAAGGAATAAAGTGAGGTCTTTCAAAAAAGAGGATACTGAGGGCATGCTACATGATCCCTCCATTCCCTCTACACATTTTCCAGCCTTCTTAAAATGTGGCTCTGAAAATGGCACAACATTCCACGCGAGTTCTCACCAAAACAGAATAGAATAGCACTTCACCTGGACATGATATTTCTGTTGATGCAGTATTTCTTCTTCTTCCCCTCCTCCTTGCCCACTACCAATGTTTCTTTGTCCTGTGCAGGCAAGCATTCCTTGCTTCTCTCTCAAATTCCTCATTACAGTGCTCCTGCTCATTAGTCACAGGGATGATGAGTGCAGGTAGAGATCTGGCATTAGCTAGCTCCACCCTAAACCATGCCAGTGCCTCACTTCCTTCCAGCAGAGCACACACACGACTCAGTTCAACAAAGAGCCAGAAACACATTAAACCTATGAGCAAGCTAGACAATCAATCAGCCTCAAGTTGAGACACTTTCTTTTCTTGCTTCCATCAATCCTCATGCAAAATGCCTGTTTACTCATTTTGCACCTGTGCCTACAGGGGCTGTGAGTGAAGCTATGGCCATGGCAGCTGCTGTCTCTGCACCAGCCAAGTCCATATTTATGCAGTGTCTCTATGCTTTCAAGGTAATGGTAAAATGGAAGCAAGGAAAACAAAGAGTCCCAGGCTGGTTTATTATTGAAAACAGGAGTCCACTCACCACATTTACCATAATTCAGGTAGTTTCTCAGCTGCCTTAGTACCACTTTCAGATTTCACCTATTGCTTTTCTTGCTGGCTGGTTGAATCGTACACACCCCAAGTCAAGAAAGATGGGAAAAGAGGTTACAGAAATTATAATAGGTGCTGTGCCATAGTACATGTTCTTCTGGCTAGTGGATTATTTGGGGCAATTTCCAACTGCCCAAGGTCAGCCAGAGTGGATTTTAGTCGTTCCCATTCCACTCTTGCCTAACTATTAATTTAATCCTAACTGGGAATGAATATTAAGCACAATACTCTACAGAGTTGGGGCTTTTCTATTTTAAAGTATGCAGGAGATTAGCTCTAGTTATAGCCTTGGGAACTTTACCTTGCTTGTCAGTCTCCGATTCCTATCAACTGGAGTCCAGTGCTGCCACCTTGTTTTTCTTCCTGGTGCTTTGATCATTCTGATGCTTAGGAAAAGTAAGTTTAGTCTAATCAGACAGAAGACATCCTTTTAAAGAAGAACTTTTGGTGGAAAAACCCAGCCGGCAACCTGGTGCTGTGAAGTGTTTGTGCAACTTGCAAATGTAACCTACTTTTCATATCACTTAAATTATTCATCAAACTTCTAAGCATGTTCATAAAAACAGAGCTGCAGATTACCAGTGCCAGTTTATCTCATTGAGGGTTGTCTGGATTTGCTAGTTTGCCTTAGATCCTGAAGTACTTTTCTTTAGGGGAAGACAGCAGTGGCATGCGTGTATGGAAAGGCCGTGCTCTTACTGAGAAGAATAGAAGCATCTTGCTTTTTGCTTTCCTAAGTATACAGTACTTTAAATCCCCAAGTATGTGGCTTATAATAGGTACTTTGGCTTTTACCTACACTTCTCATGCTGTGAAATAAAGATAACAGTGAAAATCTTTTTAGAGTGAAATTAATACATTAAGGGGGAAAGAAAGGATGTGCAGATGATAGGTGCTTCTGAAAGTATGAAGGTGTGATGCAGAAATCTGGTGGAAAGCAAACATAAACAAGTGATATAAGATTCTCCTTTTGTGCTTCTTATATTTCCTCTTGGCCTTTTCATTACTTCGGAATATGGTCTCAGAGAGCAGACTTGAGTGTGGACGATGTGCACCTTGGGCCATGGTGCAATCTCTGAGCCCCAGTCATCTCCCTTTTCATTACTTCTGAATATGGTCTCAGAGAGCAGACTTGCGTGTGGAAGATGTGCATGGTGCAATCTCTGAGCCCCAGTCATCTATGGGTGAAATGGGAATAACTGTTAGGTACCATGCTGAATTGTACGTAACACATTCAAGAAATACTTTAAAATATTCTTAGCATTAAAAGAGTTTGTGAAGAGGTTCACTGCAGTCTGTAACCCAGTAATCACATGTCATGTGAGGGATTGTGCCCCAGCCTGTCCCTGGACCATGCCCGAGCTGGACATTTTTGGTCCAGCTGTAGGGCTGCTACTTTTGGGGGCCAGGCTGGAGTGATTCTCCCAACAGACAGAAGGGTCACTTTAAAAGAGATAATTCCCTGCAAAGCAGACCTTTCCTGTGCAACTGGGTGTGTGCTTTTCCTATCATCTGATCCCACCCTGAGTTTATTTCAAGTGCTTAAACAAAATGCAGTTTACAGATGGTCGTGTATAGTATCTTGAAACTTTCCCACACTTTGTGATTTTCCTTCTGTAGCAGAGCTATTCCTTTTCTTTTGTTGTTGTCTGTTGAGTGAGTCATTACTTGCAAAGCCACTGACTATGATTTCCTCCTGAGGGCTGTTTTTCCTGCACCCTTTCTGTTCCATGTAGGTGATGAAATGAATCCTTCATAAATATTTCACCCCTTATTTCAGTTGAGATCTAACGTTTGGCAATAGCGCTTTCAGCTTTCTCATGTCTACAGTTGATGGGCTCTAACACTTAACATCTTGGAAGTAACTGTTCTCTGGCGCTGTTCAGTTGCACTCTGTAATTGCTGAACTTCTCTTTCTGCTCTGTTCCAGGTCAACGTGGGTTCCTAAGGGAGATTACATTGCTTCCAACACAGATGAGTGCACAGCCACTTTGATGTATGCCGTTAATCTCAAGCAGTCTGGCACAGTCTCCTTTGAGTACATCTACCCAGACAGCAGCATTGTCTTTGAGTTCTTTGTAAGTTCCCCATGGCTTTTCTAGCTTTCTATTATTCTATGCCATGAACAAGCTACTGTTTTTCAAAATCTGATCACTTCTCTGCACCAGTATTCACTTACTGGCCCTATGTGCGAAAAAGCTGCATTCTCTCTCAGGATTCTTGAAAAAAAAATTCTGGTATTTAAACCAGAAACCATGGAAGTCTATGTCCCCTTTCCTGTCAGACGGGCTACGTATTTTCTGTTCTGTACTTTCTTGCACTACATTTGTTTGTGGATGAATTGACAGTCCTTTTAAAGATGTAGTACTTTTTTTCTTCATTTCAAAGACAGTGTGTATCTGTTTTAATGTAATCACAATGTACTTATTGTGGCAACTCTTCCTTCCCTGTCAATTTACTATAGAACAGCCATTTAAAAAGACTTTCTAAAATAACATTTACAACTCCTGCAGATGTATATGAACTCTGGTTGATGCGGAGCCAGAGTATTGGTGTTCAGTTCCCCACTGTGCCTTCTTGACTGGGACTGGATTTGGTGATCCATTGGGTCCTTTCAAGCTCTATAGCTCTAAGATGATGATGATGAGGATGACAATGATAATTATTAAACTGATATCAACAGTTTTTACATTCAAGTGCATTGTGTTTGATCTGAGAATTTTGAAGTGTGCAGAGGGCATATGTGATTCTTTTTAAAAGGGCAATATCTCCCTTCTTTTATATTGTTTTAAGGAAGTGCTAGTTAAAGGTATGGTGGCCCTACAGCAGCAAAAAAGGGCATAACATAAGTTAGCTTTGTTTTCTTAATCTGAATAATGTGGTTTAGTTTATCTGTCATTTCCCCAGCTTCTAACCTGTAATTAATTACATGCTCTCAAATCAATCCAAAGAATGTTTTCAGTGGTTCCTTCTTAAACTGAACGGAGGTAACAAATAAGGTACCATAAGGCTCCATCCTGGGCCTAGTGCTTCAACATTTTTATTAATGACTCGGATGAGGGAGTACAGGAAATACTTACCTTATTTGCAGATGACACAGAAATGAGAGGAATAACTAATACCATGAAAGACAGAAACAAAATTCAAAAGGATCTTGATAGATTTGAGCACTGGACTGAAAACAACAGAATGAAATTTAACAGGGATAAGTGCAAAGTTTGTAAACCATTATTTTATGATTCTATGTCTATTGTGATACTTTTCAGGGTTTTCTAGGTATAAAATACAGTACTCAGAAGTGGTTTACCATTCCCTTTTCTGTGGATACAATGGAACTCTGCAGCTTGCCCAGTACTTCAACGACTGGCTTTTCTCCTACAAGGCGCAGTAGGGAATCAAAATCCCAACCCCTGGCTCCACAGCCAGATACCTAACTCGCTGAACTATCCAGTCAGCCCTGTAACCTGTAGGAATGCCCCCTCCAGCTGATCATTGTTTATCTTACTGGCATTAAAATTATGAATGTCTTTGTTCTATAGCAATAAGCTTGGCTCATACAAGGAATTTGGCTTCCAGGAACAGAAGCAGGACATATCTTAAAATTATAGAATTTGCATCTTCATCATCCCAAGTTCTCATCTGTTACAGATTCAGAATGACCAGTGCCAGCCAACAGTAGAGGAGTCACGGTGGATGACAACCACAGAAAAAGGATGGGAGACACACAGTGTAAGTTCATTCCTTGTCCAATGGACCACAGGGCTTAGAAATCTATTGCCAACAGTGCCTTGGAAAGGAAAATACGCATGTGCTTTCGGAGAGGCAACACCAGAGTCAGAAATAGTAGAGTGTTTTGAGATCCGTCACAGTTTAACCTCTTTGTTTATTATTTGTAGGTTAAACTAAATCGAGGCAACAATGCCCTGTATTGGAGGACAACAGCCTTCTCTGTGTGGTCCAAAACTCCCAAGCCTGTGTTGGTGAGGAACATTGTGATTACAGGTTTGTGTTTGTTTGGTGCATTTGCCATAGTTGCTTGTTACAGTGCAAGCATCTGTGGCAGCTCCTGTTCCCACCACTACTGCTGCTATGGTGCTTGTGGTAGCCAAAGGACTATTTTACTCACTGCAACCCAGTGTATCTTCTTTCATTCTGTTCCTTAGGAGTGGCATACACTTCCGAATGCTTTCCGTGCAAGGCAGGCACCTATGCAGCCAAATCAGGTTCTTCTTTCTGCCGACAGTGCCCAGCAAACTCCTTCTCCAGCAAGGAAGCAACTGTCTGCCAACAGTGTGAGCCAACAACATACTCAGGTAACATTCAAGATGTCTATCCCAATTATTTGAAGACTTTAATGGGGGCTGATTTCATAACTTCATGAGACAAGCTCCACTGAATATGTTCCTTAAGCCTGCTTACCTTCATCTTGTTTTATGTGCTCTCCAGCAAAGAAAAGTGCATGTTTTTTTCCTTCTTTGATAATTTATGTCAGCATTATCAACAATGTTTCAACATTCTAGCCCTGTCCTTTAAAAGCAGTTCTGCTTTGTTGGACATTGAATTTTACTTTAGTTAATAATGTCTTGGCATCGATCCTTTCATTCATCCACTTCACTAATTTTCTTCCATCTTTCTTGTCATGCACATTCCTATATTTGTGAAGTGGGGACAAGGATGATAACAACTATTGAGGTTAAAGCCATATTCTATTTTGAGGTATGTTCATCCTAGCAAACGCTAGGAAGCATAATTTTAATTCGTCCTTATCAGGTCTTGGAAAATACTCTTTTTCAGACCCAAGTCCTAATGTAGGGTTTTTTTTAGTATTTAAAGTAACTTTTCCAAGCTCTGTTCATAATGGCTTGACCAGAAGTGTTTTAAAAAAAACTGTAGTTACCAGAGCTCCCATTATCAGTTGGGAGGACCTGAGCATGCTCAGAAGTTTTCTTAATAAATGCTGGAAATCAAGGGAACTTCCATCAAGCTGTCTTTCCTCCTCTTTTCTGGAATCTTGGAAAGTTAGAGGAAGGAGTGGGAGGGCAGGGGGAAACTGGCAGATAAAAGGCCTGGCAGTGGTAGAGGAACATAATGATGACAATCACAATTTTATGTTTGAAGAATTTCACTGGCCTGATGGAAAGTATAGAGGGAGATGATTTACATGTTTCTGGCTCCCTGAATATGATCTCCCAAGTTTGGAGAGGAGAGCACCCAAGTTAATGGGATCTGAGAAACATCTTGTCAACAATTGAAAATCCTTGGAATGTCACATCAAATGTTACCACTTTTTCTTTTCCTCCAGCAAGGATGAGGAACTATTTGTTCCTATAGTTAATGTTTGTTATACAAATGCTTATTCTTTGTTCCTATTAAAACCAATTTGTCTTAAGCAAATACTGTAATGAGGCAGATTGCATTCAAAACTCACCAACATTTTCTGGAATAGCAGATGTTGGATCTGGAGTTTTAAACTATGTGTGTATGTGTCTATGGGTGTGGTCACATTGACAAGTGCAGGTAATGCTATGGGTATAGGATGGGCTGATTCATATTTTTTTTCTTAGACCACATGAGGTAAAAGTAAATGCAAGTCAGCCCAGAGTCCCTCCCCCATCTGTAATGTTTTCCTCTTTTGCTGGGGCTTTTACTTTTTTGTGGGGAGATGTTGATGGTATGTTATAATTTTATTTTAAAAAAACATGGGGAGAGGCATAAACATCTTAGCAGTTTTTTTTAAAGAACAGCTTGGTGACAGTGCTCTTGTGCTGGGGACCAAGGCAGACAAAAAAGAAAGACTGAGAGGAGGAAATTGCCACTCTGTCCTTGTTCACATTTATTAAAGCAGTTCTCTTGTAGCTGTGCCTCCAAAAGGGCTACAGGAGAGGTATGTTAACAATCTGTGAACAAGGCTGTTTTAGCCAGTTTCCTCCTCTCCCTCTGAATGCAGTTAATGAAAACAGACTCAGAGAAACCTGAATTCTGTGGTGCAACTTCACAACGAGTGAACTCACATTTTTCTTGCTATGTAGTCGCTCCTGTCTAACACATCAATGCCACATATACCTAACCTTACATTCCTCCAGTTAGTTACACTGGGTGTTGTTTGTGGTTGATGGGATTGCCACTTGAAGTACAAAGATAATATGTTAATCGGGCATAATGGTCTTTAAAATGAATTGCTGCTGAGATGTTCCATCATACTAATGTAATTTCTACCACTGTTTCTTTTTGCAATAAAGAACCAGGTTCCTCATCATGCAAGCCTCGTCCAGCCTGTACTGATAAGGATTATTTTTATACTCATACAGCCTGTGACACAAATGGAGATGTATGTACCTTATACTTTATTGTTAAACCAGCACATAAACAACAGTGGGATTCTCCGAATTAGATTCTTAAAGTGCATGCAGTATTCCTCCTTGGAGTATTGTATGTGCATTAATGTCTGACTCTTGTGTCTAGAGAGCATCCCCTTGTGGTTGCTATACCCCATTAATTCATGTTAAACAGGAGTGGAGCATGACCACATGACACAACCATCCTCTTGTAATTCTCCCGTGTTTTTCAAATACTACTTCCCTCTTTCTCTGTCAGAGACAATCTGCTCAGGAGGAAAAGGGGAATATGAGCAGTGTCAGAGATCTAAAGGATTAACCAGGAAAATAGTCAATTCAGGGTGGGTGTGTTGGTTTCTTGGAAGGAAGGAAAATACTGTAGCACTTTGCTCAGTGAGATGGATCACAGTTTGGACTGTTCCTTCTTTTTAAATTGCAGATCAGTGTGGGCAACAGATAGAGGCATTTTGCGTCTGAGATATATATACTTTACTGTAAAGAGTTTTGCCTTTTACTTGTAATCCTTGTAAACCTTTTGCTTGCTGTTTAAAATTCATATGAATGCATTTGGTTACTCAAAGCAGAGCCGTCTTTCATTCCTGGTGGGGATTGATATTGGGAGCCCTTTATTGCATCCTTGCTGACTTCCACAGCAAACTGCCTTTAGTCATAAACAAATTGCTGAACTATATCTTTTGATTTTCTAAAAAGGCTGTTATTTAACAAAGTACTGTGAGCATACTTAGAATACTGGGGACCTTTAATGTTTAGTCCTCTGACTCTTGGCTCGAAAAGTTACATTTGGACTAAAACCACCAGAATCTCACTAGTCAGCATGGTAGCCATGCTCTTTGTAGAATTCTTGGAGTTGTTAAAAAGAACAACTTTTCCACTTTGCATGAAGTAGCTGTTAAGTTGCTCTGAGCTTCTTCGTGATGAGAGTACAAATGCTTGACTTGCTCAAGGAGATTGGTAAGCTACTAGGAGGGGGAATCTTCCTCTTTGAAATCCTAGCTTCTCACAGCTTTCAATGTCAACAGAGATTCTGCAATGATTTTTCATACCTCCTGGACTGAGAGCAGCAATAGACCACAGTATTCTGTAGCAAGAAACAGCTGCTTTGATTGGCCATCTTTTACTGGCGGAACTCACTTTCTACCCAGTCAGAGGCATACTGCGGTGGGGGTGGGAGCAGCCCAAAATGTAGGTCTTAATAAGTTGTTGCTTGTATTCCTTATTGCATGTCTTGGTGTGCAACAAATATGTGGTGACTTTTTAACTGCCAGCAGTATGAGTTATACCAATACACTTACACTGGCCTAACTAACCAGTGGGATTCTGGCCATTATTTCTTGTAATGTCTGTCTAGAGAAAATTTGAAGCAAAGTAAGTTATCACATACACATATGCACTGACCAAGGAAGCTGTCAAAATATTGGTAGATGAGACCTCTGAAATGAGTAGTTCTCCAAAAAGCTCAGCTGTGAAAATGCCTTCTTCAGTCAGATAATCTAGGGTGAACAAATGGATATGTTGTGATGATCAGCCAAGGTCTGGCTGGCAGCTTTAGATCAGAGGTGTGTGCCATGATTTAGTAGCTAAGCATTAACATAATGGATCATCTAGAACTACTGCATTAGGAAAGTGTATACATGTTGGCTGGATAGCTCCAGTTTAGGTATCAGGCTGCAGAGTCAGAGGTGGTGAACTGGATTCCCCACTGTTTTTCCTATGAGTAGACCAGCCTGTGTAGCTTTTGAACAAGCAATACAGTCCCAGGGCATCCCTAAAACCACTTCTGAATATTCTCTACTTGAAAAATCCTGAAAATGATTGCCATAAGTCAGAATTGTGACGGCACAGCATCATCATCATCATCCATGTTGACTACCACATACAACTACAAGGAGAAGGGCACTTTGGCAGCCCTAACATCAGCATGAAGTAGCAGGCTCCATTGATGGAGAACAGGAGGGACACCCAGGAAAAGAGACACATGTATACAGTGCACACGAGACAGAACCTTGTTGTATAATGATGTACATAATAAGTGTCCCCTAGTTTTTGTGTAGATTTCAGAAACAAAGGTGTAAAGTTGTTTGCTTATCAGAATGTTATAAGAATGTTTGATATTAATAATAATAAATACAACATTATCTTCACAGACTCAGTTAATGTATAAATGGGCCGAGCCAAAGATCTGCAGCGAGGACCTCCCTAATGCTGTAAAGTTGCCTCCATCAGGTGTAAAAACTGTTTGTCCACCTTGCAACCCAGGGTTTTTCAAGACAAATGCAAGTTCCTGTGAGCCCTGTCCATATGGAACATATTCGAATGGGTCTGGTAATGCTCTTCTATCCTTCACTTCTAAGCTAGTCAGAATCATTACATGAATTGTGTTGTTGAAAATGCATATACTGGCAACAAACATTGTTATTATCAGTGTAGTGGTCAATAAATGGCGAACATGGATTTGAAGCTTCCATGTAATTATGCTTGCTAGATTCTAAAGTGATATGAAGACTAATTCAAGTTTTCTTTGTGTGAGATGTGGCCCAATTCTTACTTTTCTTTACTATTACTTTTTTTTGTCAGTGACAGCAAGGTAATGGGACTGAATAGAATATCCCAGAATTTGCTGTGTGGTCTATTTAAACCAAGGCTGGGTAACTTGAACAGGTGGTGATGGGGGGTCATTTTGCTGCTCTTTGGGTCATCTGAGGAGCACTTATATTGCTGAAAGAAAGAAATAAATCATAAGTGCCTCAAAATCCATCAGCAAGTTTGAAGGAATTCCTAGTTGTTGGTGCTAAATGGTATGGAGGTGGGGATGCATTTATTTAAAAGGCAAATCACTGCTATTGGAGGCTTTTGGGAATAGCAATTTGCTTGTGCTGGGGGAGGGGAGGGTTTTTTAGGGGGTAGTGAGGTCCAGGTTAGGGCAAGGCCCTCAGAAACAGCCTTGAAGGCTGCATACAGTCCTCTAGTTGCACTCTCTTCATCGGTCATTTCGATTCTGATTCCTCTTCCCTATTTACCCAATTCAAAAATGAATGGTGGTGATTCTCAGAGGGAGCTGCTGACATTATTTATTTGTTTGTTTATTTTATTTATATCCTGCCCATTTAAACAGAAGTCTGCTCTGGGCAGGTAACAACAATATTCAAACAAAATAAACAACAATATTAATACACTAGAGGATGGCGAAATAAGTTAGGTATTGACAGGAGGGAAGGCCTATCTGAAGAGCCAGGTCTTAAGTTGGCTCTTTAAAACACCGAACAAGGGAGCCAGACAAATTTCTGGGGGGATATTGTTCCAGAGCTGAGGGGCCACTGCCAAGAAGGTCCGCTTTTTTCTTCTTTCTCTTCGGGCCTCCCTCGGCGTTAAGGAGGGAGCTGACTATTTTGGAAGTGAAAGGTCACTGTGTTTTTAGACACAAAACACTGTGTTTTGTGTTAAAAGAGTAGTAATTCTGTGGCATGATATGATTGTGTAACTGCAGTGAAAATTACTCTGTCCTGGGGGGAAAATTCATCTTTTCAAGCTTATCTCAAAAAGTGGTAAAATTGAGCAGGGGTTTGGACTCAATGGCCTTATAGACTCCTTCCAACTCAAATTATTCTATGATTCTGATAACTACTTCATCATATGGATAACTTTTCATCAGCCATTTTAACACACACACACACAGATATGCTATATATGCGTGTGTTTGTCTGTCTGTGTGTATGTATGTAGGCATAGGCATTTGTTGGCACACACCAAGCTGTTTCTTCAGTGGAATTCCAGAAAGCATCTAGGCATTTAGGAAGGACCACCATTTAGGAATTGCTTTCAAAGAAGTAGCTGTGTTAATCTGTGTTAAGCATATTCAGACAAAGATAAATAGGAAAACAAAAAAAGAAAAAAGTAGCTGCACTTTAAAGACTGTTAAATTTCCATATGAGCTTTCATAGATCAAGTCCACTTCCTCAGACAGCAAATACTTCTCTCTCTCTCTCCCTCACTTCCTTTTTCCTTTCTTTCTGTTGTGTTTCAGGTTTTGTTTTTTGTTTTCTTGTGTGTGTCTGGATACACTTACTAATAGCTTTCTCTTTGGGCAGCCCTCCCCAACCTGTTGATAATCTATAGTTGAGGGTGGAAATATCTTTGCTGAGTCTTAGGCTCATTTTTCTGCCAAAGAGGAGTACTCCCTTAAAAGGGGGGGGGGAGAGAAAAACTTAGTTGGAAATGGCCAGAAGTCTGTTTTCAGTTTTGAAAAAGGGCATTTTGTAATGTTAAATGATAGAAGTAGGGTCATGACCTGTATAAAGGATAAATCACAGCTCCTGGAGGCTTACAGAAGCAGCACTGAATCATTTTTGGGTGGAGGAGTGGGGGGGGGGCAAGGACTACAGAAACTTTCTTAGGGTTTGCATAGGATTCAAGTGTCACACCTTGCCCACCCTGCTCTACTTGTTTTTGCCTACAGTTGCTTTGATCCCTGACCACTGGGCATTCTAGCTGGACCTGCTGATGGGAGCTGAAGTCTAAAACATCTACAATATACTTACATTGCTACTCTTAGGAATCCATTTATCTTAGATGTTATAATACTGCTTCTGTGTCTTCCTAGGTTGCATCAACTGCCCTGTTGGGACTGAGCCTGCACTAGGCTTTGAGTACAAATGGTGGAACACATTGCCAACTAACATGGAAACAACAGTCCTCAGTGGAATCAATTTTGAATATAAGCAGATGACAGGTATCTTCATGGGTGCATTCTTATAATAATGTGTCTGGATATTTTAGAATATCTGTATTCTGTGTTTAAATACAGCCCTGTTTTTTATTTCTTTCTGCTTGCAGGTCACTTGAGTATGTAGAATTCATTTGCTGAAATCTTGTTACTTTGTGGAAGGCAAAGGCATAATTCAGTTGTTCCTAGCTGGCAATTAACAAGCCCCGCTGAGATTCTCAAGCATGCACCAAGCTAGCAGGTGTGCATCCCTCTGAGAATCCTAGCAGTGACTAATTAATTGCCAGCTAGGAACATGGAATATTATGCCTTTTGTCTTCAACATGCATAACAGAGCAGCAGGATTTCAGCCATTACTTTCTCTTGCAGGGATCAATAATTCAGCATCATTTTGGTTCAGTGGGTATAAAGGTTTAAACTCGGTTTACTTTTTTCCACTCATTAATGAACCTAATTGTGTGGCCTTTGAGACAGTCAACATCTCTCAGCCAATTTTCCTGATACCAAATTGCTTGTGAAATGGAAAATAAAATAGGGAATAAAATGGTATATGCCACCTTAAGTTTCTTGAAGAAGACATAAGTGTATGTAGAAATAATTTTGAAACATCTGGATAATTGATCCTCTCCAGCCAAGACTACCGGCCACCTTCATGGAAATGTTATGAGAGTTAAATGGCTACCACACAAAATGGCAGCTCTCTATCTCCTCTTCTCTATCGTATTAATATCCAGATTGCAAAAGACTTGGCTTGGCATTAGAGGCTTGTTGCATGTGCAAGTGGCAGAAAGTAAAAATGAGAAGGGGTCAGAAAACTCTTAGCATGGTAACCTGTTAGGTGTCATAACTGAAAAGGTACATATGTGCTTATAGAGACACATTACTAACTGAAATAATACATTTTTATGAATAAAAATTATATTTTGTTAGCTCTTGCTTGCTGTTTTCAGGGTGGGAAGTTGCTGGCGACTACATCTATACAGCAGCAGGAGCTTCTGACAATGATTTCATGATTTTGACGTTGCTGATTCCTGGATTCAGGCGAGTTTCCACTCTTTTTTATTATTATTAAATTTAATGTTGTTTACATACCAACCCCCAATCCCGAAACAGAACAAAACAATAGTGCACTCCTCACCCCAGGGACCATCCATTAATACAATACATAGATCTATTTTACAACAATGTTTCCTTCATATTTTAAAATACCTCTTATACCTTCCCAAAATACATATATTCTTAACCTGGCTTTTGCTGCTTTTCTTTATTCGATACGACATTTATAAAGTCACCTCATATCTCATTAAATTTATTAATCTTTATCAATTATTTTTTGAACTTAATTTCAGATTTCATTATACCATTCATGTGGTTGAAAAATCCAACTCTTCTTCCAGTTTCTTGATATAACTAATCAAGTTTGTACTCTTCACAAGTTTTTGTAGGTACGTCCAGCAGAATATTTAGTCGAGATAATAGGTGCATTCCACTTGCACTACCATTATTCAACTATTTTCATTGTGGACAGTAGTAAAAAGAGTAAACAAAGGATTGAGTTGGCTGTTGAGATTAACAGAGCCATTCAACATGTACGAGTGTCAGCTGCCTGATCTTGCTATATGGTGTCACTACTTACTGGCCATAATTTCAATGCATGTATGAATGGAGTGCCAATTCTGCTTTTACCTTCTTTGCACATATTTCAGATGATAGTATTGACATGGCCAGTCTTCATCTATTCCTACTCCTCTCCCACATTGCTACTTAATTTGTCACCAGCATCTTGCACATTATATACTGTACTTCCTGAATTTTACTATCCAACAAACAGCAACAGAGCATGGACAGAGTTCCTACTCCAGTCCTCTGAAGATGCTGGCCACAGAGACTGGTGAAACATCAGGAAGAACAACCTTCAGAACACAGCCAAAGAGCCCGAAAAACCCACAACAACCATCAGATCCCGGCCGTGAAAGCCTTCGAGAATACTTCCTGAATTTTGCTTGTTCTTTTGCAGTCCCCCACAAACGGTGATGGAGGACTTGGAAAATAAGAAGATAGCAAAAATTACATTTGTCTTTGAAACCATCTGCAGTGTGAATTGTGAACTTTATTTCATGGTGGTAAGTTGATCCAGCTTCTTCTTTCTCCAAAGTTCATGATTTTGTTTACTCTGTTTTCCTTGAGGTTGTGAAATAGCTTGTAAATAATTAGCTTTGTTGTTTCTTGTGCAGAACTTAAGAATGAGATTTTTTTGCATCTTGATTTGTTAAATAGAAGAGCCCTCTATGTGAGGGTCCGCTATTCTTCACCTCCCCCGAACCGAATAAAACAGGAGACGTCTTTAAACCAAACGACTTGTCTTCATTTATTAACTGGGGTAGGGGAATGGAAATGTCTATTAACTTGGGAATAAACTTCTCCTGAGGGAGCAACGGCTCGTACAGGGGCACCCAATCTTCGTCAAACGGGTTGCTCGACTTCGAAGCCCATGGACCGGCCTGAACCCGGGAGGGTTCTTTGGGTTCGAATTCGTCTGCGTCTGTCAGCAGTAACGGGGTTGTCTCTTCATACCCTGCTTCGTCTGGGTCTGTCATCAGTAACGGGGTGGTCTCTTCATACCCTGCATATCCCCAGGGTACATGGTTCTCACCCCCGGTAAAGCCCCAGGGTCCTGGTAGCACCCCAGTTTCTTCAACTCCTCCAGATGCCATAGTCTCTTTTCCTCTCTCTCTCTTTCTCTACTTTCTTCTTCTCTTCAGCCAGCTTACGTCGCCACTCTCTCATCTCCCTTTCTCCCCAGTATGAGGGACGTATTGTCATTTCCCTTCTTTTCCTCTCCTCTGCCTCCCGCTTAGTGAGTCGGACCTGTTCCCACTTGCCAGTCCAAGGGTCTTGGATGGACACCCATTCCCATCCGCCCTCGTTCCCCTCTCTCTGGCTACTAACTTCTCCCGCAGCCCCCTCCTCTGGACCCTTCCATTCCTTTCCCACCCAAACCTGAGGAGTCTGGGTAGAGACCGTTAACCCCTTCATGCCCCAGTCTAAATCCAAGGTGTCCACTGCCTGACGAAGCATCCGGGGTGGGAAAGGCAGGGGAGCTGTCTGAGTGCCCACAGTGGCCCTAGGGCGAGACGGCACTCCCAACATCACCTCACGACCCGGGGCACGGGTGTCACACTCTAACATACTTCCAACTCTTGCCTTACTAAAATCCTGTAGATTCAGTGCGTCTATTCTAGCTGGAACGATCAGTTGGATTTAGTCCTAAATGTTATGTTTTCAAAAATACAATAAAGATCTGTTGAATAATATGGAGACACTCGATCAAACAATGTTTAAAACAGAAGTGAGTCACACATGGCACAAGCTACATGTGACCCTCCTCCCAGTTTTTGCAGGCTTTAGATTCCCTCCTTGCTACCAGCTAGCCTTTTAGCTAACCATTTCCATACATTCATGCTTTCATTGCCAGGAAGCTTTTCCTTTTTTGAAATAGTTATAGCCTACCAGTACTCTGAAGACCCAAAGAAACCCAACTCTGGTTAAAATGTTGAATTCTATCACAAAGCCAACTGAGAGTTTTTGAAGAATACAAATGTAATTCCCCTCCCATCCTGGAATAATGAGGCGAGACGCAGACAACGGGGTAAACTGGGGCCACACTTTATTAACAATAGGTGAATTATTAACTTCAGAGTCCAGCCAAAAGAGGGGCCCGCCGTAGTGCAGAATGAGGTTTGTAACATAGGTCTCACCAAACCCCTTCTTCACAAAAATGGGTGAGTCCCATGCCCGGGGTTGCATGGTCCTGAAGACAGCATGGCCTCAGACAGCCAGGCTCTGACCAACCCTGACCCTTGAGCCCCTGTTTACAGGTGGCCGGTGGCCCATGGGTGGCCCCAGCACATCCCTCACCCACACTGTAATCTCATGATCCACAGTGCTGGGAGTTTGGATGGGCTATAACCCCGCTTCCACTGGCCAATTAGGAAGCAGGTCAAAAATTCCTAGGCCCCCCCCCAAGGCAACCAGTAAAACTCACACTAGAACTGAAGGTGCATGGGTGGGTTGCAAGCTTCGATAGAGGCTGATGTCGGGGAGGAGAACATTTAAGTAAGCTGCTCCTTCCCCCTCTCCTCTAGCTGAATGTGATTGTCTTGCCTCGCGCTATCCCAGGAGGGAGAGCAAAGAGGCTTTTCTTGATGAAGCGAGCTCATCATCCTACCAAATTGTTGACCTTGTATCCACAAAAAATGGAATGTCATTAAAATGCCTTTTCAGCAGAAATTTGGAAGGTAAATTATACAATATTATGAATGTAGCATGTGGGTTTTTTTTTAATGAAGCAAGGAAATAGATGAGGTTAGAATTAGTCAATGGAATACCATTGTAGTATTAATGTAATGATATAACATGTACATGATATTCCCTTTGTAAGGGGCATGTTTCATCTAACACTGTGGGGTATATCCTGGGAAGACATGTCGTACTTGCTGCTTTTGTAAAATACTGTATATGAAGCAGCATGGAGTCTGCTAACATGGATATATAAATATCTTCCCAATCCTTTCTTTCTTTCTGTATTGCGAACTACATAGAAAAAAGAAACTAAACTACATATAAGTTACATTAAAAAGAAGCTGTATTGTAAATTTTATAATTGTTTATAAATTTAATATCAGAATATTAGAACTAACCTAAACATATATATCCATATATACAAATGGACATAAATAAGTGGAACAGAACTAGTGCTTATATTAATAAGTACACAAATGTAAACAACTGGTGCTTATTAAAATTTTGCTTTCAAATTAGGATAATTTGGCATTACTGAATAAATGACAACATACCAACTCTTCTCCATGTTTTGTGTGCCACAACCCACATTTGCTTCCCTTCAGTAATAACAGACATACATACTCATGTGGTAGCTTTCCCCAACTTCAGGATCTCCTTTCCTCATTCTGATTCCTCTCTTTTCCCATCTGCTGCCCCATTTCCCCTCATTTTCAGCTGGTTATTTTGGAGAGCTTCTAATCTCACTGCCACAGAGACTCACCTTTTTAAAAAATAATTTTAAACCTTAATTATTATGATTCATCTATCTTCAAGTTTTCAGCATATTGCTGTTGTGAATTTAGGACAAAGAGTACTTTGTATAGAGGCATTGCTTGGTCTTTCCTCGCTGGACAGATGTCATTTAATCTCTGGTAGGGTGTGAATTCCAGAACTAACACACCTGTGGAGACCTGGGTTGGTTCTAAAGGAAAGCAGTCCTACACTTACATCATTGAGAAGAACGCAACGATGAGCTTCACATGGGCCTTCCAAAGAACAGCATATCATGAGGCGGTAAGGACAATCAGTTCCTTGGAAATATTCTTTTATAGGGCAGCTCTCATCAAGAAAGAGGGATTACTGTAGTGTACAGTGGTGCCTTGACTTACAACCGTCGTGTAGTGTACAGTGGTGCCTCGACTTACAACGTCCCTACTTACAACCATTTCGAGCTACGACCAGCTCCGCCCGCAAAATTTTGCTTCGACTTGCGACTGGACCGTCAAGTTACAACCAAGAAAAAGGGCAGGAAATTCAAATATACTAACTGCTGGTGGCGAAGAGGCTGATTCTTTGTATCTCTTTCACCCCAACAGTTAGGGAAAGGGATGCAGTGGCAGGGGGAGGCAGGGTCATCCCTCGGCGCTCCTCGCCGCCCTCCGTGGAGCCGATGCTGCTGGGTCCCAATCCCTGGCCTTGCATGGGTGGGGCTGCGCTCGGCCCTTGGCCCAGTGGGGGTGGCTCCCCTTCTCCACTGGCACGCGGTTCCTGAGCAGCAGGTGGTGCCTGATGCTGCCTCCCGTTCTGATACCGGCTGCTGGCTGGGGCGGTCACATTGGGCACCACTGGCAGGTGAGCCACCTGCTCGTCACAGACCCAGCAGCAGTGGTGGCATTGGCCCCGCGGAGGGCGGTGAGGAGCACTGAGGCCCGATGTGGATCCCCCAGAGGGGGGGCGATCCTGCTAGCAGCGCCAAAGGAAGCCGCATGGCTGGGCAAGCGCTGCTGCCGCCCGACAGGCTCCTATGGGGACAGGGAGGAAGCTTGGGACTGCTTGCTAAGGCAAGGTGCTGCTTTTTGCTTTTTAAAAACTGTTCTGGATGAGTTTTGCAGGGTGCTTTTGGTCTGAGGGGGGTTATGTTTCTATGCTGTGCTGTTGTTTATTTTTAGGTGATACTTTTTTGCAGCCCCAGCACATTCCTATTGGGCTTGAAGTGTTTTATTTTTATTTTATTTTGGTTTTTTTTTGTTTTTGGCCGGAACGGATTAATCGCGTTCCCATGCATTCCTATGGGAGTGCATGCTTCGACTTATGACCATTTTGAGTTACGTCCATCTTCTGGAACGGATTATGGTCATAAGTCAAGGCACAACTGTATTCTAGATGAGAGCAAGTTGATTGCAACTACAAGAATGCAGACCACTCTTTGCAGCACTCCACCTTCAGCTTGTTAGGTATTTATTCTCTCCCAAGCCACATATTATGACGCTTCCTGTGTTTTGTTTCAGGGAAGAAAATACACAAACGATGTTGCCAAGTTGTACTCCATCAATGTGACCAATGCCATAGATGGTGTAGCTTCCTACTGCCGGCCATGTGCTCTAGAATCCTCAGGCTCATCCTGTACTTCCTGCCCCCATGGTCACTACATTGACAGAGATGCTGGCAGCTGCTATCCATGTGCATCAAATACTTACCTGAAAGCCCATCAGCCTTATGGCAAGCAGGCTTGCATCCCTTGTGGCCCTGGCACAAAAAACAACAAGGTATTATTGTCCTGCTTACTGTGATGAGTCCTGGGCTGTGACTATTGCACTCATCCATAATGCATATAAAAGTGTATTGTGAGAGCTTTCTAGTTCATCTGACAAAGAGGGATGCATTAAAGCAGATAAGAACAACAAGGTAATTTTAGGCTGCATTAATAGAAGTATAGTTTCCAAAGGCTGTCATAGAGAGGAGGGATAAGATTTGTTCTCGATCATCCCAGAGTGCAGGACACACAACAATGGGCTCAAGTTAAAGGAAGCCAGATTTTGGTTGAATATCAGGAAAAACGTCCTAACTGTTAGAGCAAAACAACAGTGGAACCAGTTACCTCAGGAGTTGGTGGTGAGTGTTCCAACACTGGAGGCATTCAAGAAAAACTAAGTTAATGACCTGGGAGATATGCTTTGATTGTATTACTGCACTGAGCAGGGGGTTGGATTTGATGGCCTTGTAGGCCCCTTCCAAATTCACTTTTCTATGATTCTGTGAGTCTATGATCATTAGAATGGCATTTAATCAAATGCCATAAAGGAATGAACCAGCTTTTGAATTCACTATTTATTTACTGTTCCCAAGTATGTTAGTATTTCCCAGTAGAAGTATTATTTTCTGTTTGCCTTGATTTTCCTCTGCCCCCCCAAATTATCTGCAATATTCATATCTCAAAAGATATTTAAGATTGCATCTGACTGTCTACTGCCAATATACATAGATAATAGGAGACTTCTGTCTCCTATCACTGAGTGCAGGGCACCATACAGGAGAGGGCCTTGTTGGTTATGGAAAAGTCCTGTTCATAGAACATTCTTCCCTTGGAAACTCATTAGATCCAAGCGAAAATATATATATTTGCCCAGGCTTTTGGAGGGCAGAAATCATGCCTTGGCCTAATAGATTGTAGGAGCTCTGGTTGCTTGCTTGCTTGCTTGCTTTTCTTTTTTCCATTGAATTGGTCTAAATATTAAAGCTATTTTATTGTATCTCACCTTGTTCTTTTTTTCCATTGAATTGGTCTAAAATATTAAAGCTATTTTATTGTATCTCACCTTGAGATTCTAGATACGGGAGTGGGATAGGAAAATTTAAACTAATATTTACTTGTCAGGAAAGTACCCCCTGGTCATCCAACATGATATGCAGATCTGTTGGTAAAGGGTTTGTTATTGTGGTGCACTTCTTATCTCAAGCTGCACATGAACAAAGGGCGTGGCAGAGTATTCTGCGAAGATGTGGGACTCTCTTTTCTTCTGTCCCACAACAAACACTAATTTCTTTGCATGGACATAAATAATCTATGTCAGTCTATTTTTGTGCCTTTATATTGGAAATCTGGAAAATACAGTATATGTGGAAAATGGCTCTTTATTTAAAGAATCACCTTAGAATTTGCTTATAGACAGAGAGGCATTCTCAGAGGGATTTGTTATTTCTTGCCAAACTGGAAGTGACACAAGAGCAGCTATTCTCTCCACATATTTTGTTTTCTGTAATTATCCACATGTTTCTCCTGGCATATTTTACAATTGGCAACCAAGATTCATGTGAACAGAAGCATAATGGATTTCAGCATGGTAGGAATGTGGCTAACATTAGAATAATCAACCAACAAGATCATTTTTCTCAGAATAAGCTTGAATTTTAAATTCTGCTGGAAAAGTTGACCAGTTCTCAATTCCTCTGTGAAGAAATAAATTGACTGTTATAACCTTTCCCTCCTCAGATCCATTCTCTTTGTTACAATGACTGTCACCTCTCAATTACCTTGAGGGGCAGGACTTTGGAGTATGATTTCTCGGCACTGGGCAATACCACATCCTTTTTAGCAGGGCCAAGCTTTACTTCAAAAGGGCTAAAATATTTTCATCACTTCAACATCAGCCTTTGTGGGAATCATGTAAGTATGCATTTCTCCAAGGCAAGGCCTTATTAAGGACTCCACATGGTGATCATGAAGTGCCTGAGTCTTTCTCTGTGAGGACTGACCCCATGGTGTGGACAGTCTGCAGGTGCCAACATCCTTCTGCAGTCACTATTGTGTGGAATGCTTTCTTAGCAGCATTTTGCTGATAAAACATAAGCGGTTCCAGCTCCTGCTTAATAAATCTCTTCCAATCTAAAATTGTGTAAAGGCTCAAGCTACTACCTAGTGAAAGTGTTCCTCTGCTGGGATGCAGCTTCCACCACTCAGCTGAGAGAAGAAGTGGATGCTGTGATTCTTTCAAAAAAGAACCTCAGGCTTTTAAATGAAAGTCTTTAAAATAAGATTTTTAAATAACATTTTAATGACAGTGAAAAATAAGAGTGCTATCACTTTTCCACCCTCTTTCTTTTTACTCTTTCTTTCACTTTTTCTGAAGGGAAGGAAGACAGCTATCTGCACAGATAATGTCACAGATATACATATTCTTGGCAAGGAAACAGAGTTCTCCAAATCAATTTCCACCTATGTATGCCAGTCCATCATTGTTCCCTCTGATGTGGTGGGTTACAAAACAGTGGTGTCCTCACAGCCTGTGAGCCTCGCAGACCATTTTATAGGTGAGAACACTGGGAAGAATAGTTTTGGCTTTGGATTGAGGACTGAGAGATATGCTTGATGGAGGTTTGGGGAGGCATCACATTCAAGGGACTGGACCAATTCTTATTTTATGCCTGTTAGATATATAGCAGCCTGGTATATGATAGTCTGGATCAAAGCCACCCACTTCAATACCTGTTCTCTTTACTCTCTCCCACTCAGCAAATGATTTTTGTTTTTCAGGCAGTTCCCTGAAGAGCAAAGGTCAAGGTTATAGGCTCCTCCTGACACCCAGTAGTTTGTTTTCCCCCCTCCAACTATATATCTAAAACACACAGCTTTTTCTGCTGCAGGCCCTGCCTGGATATCCATCCCCAGGCCTGGCCAAGCTTCCCAATTCCTCTTCCAATCATATGCATTAACATTACAGGGTTTCTAATCAAACACGTATCATATCTTACGATACTTGCTGTTCTGATCCTGGTTAGAGTTTGTAAGGAAGGCAATGAATAAAAGAGCCCTATTTGCTGGAGGTATTGAAGATAAAACAGAAATGGAACTGTCCCTTTATTTCAGTGGTTCCCAGCCTTGGGCCCCCAGATGTTCTTGGACTACAACTTCCAGAAATCCCGGCCAGCACAGCTAATGGTGAAGATTTCTGGGAGTGTTAGGCCAGGAACATCTGGGGAAACAAGGTTGGGAACCATTGCTCTATTTGAAGGCTTGTTAGTACAGGTACGGTATACCTTCAGGAAAAGGGATACATACTAGTCCTGGGGACAGTCATATCTTCTCTGTGCGGCATCTTTTTCACTGGCTTTGTTATTATATCTTGCAGGGGTAACAACCTCACCCACACTGGACAATATCACCTCACCTGCTGACTATTTCCGTGCTGAGAATGTGGGCTTACCAGATGTGATATTCTTTTATAGGTAAGGTAGAGAAATGCAAAATGAAGGTCACAACAGGGCTTACACATTTTCTTCTGTGAAAAACACTTTGGACTACTTAGGTGTAGTTTGGCCTTTCAGGTACCTGTCCCACAGTGGAGGCTAATCATGTTATTTATTTATTTATTTATTTATTTATTTATTTATTTATTTATTTATTTATTTATTTATTTATTTATTTATTTATTTATTTATTTATTTATTTATTTAT